GTAATAGATACTAAAGAGAGAAACTAATGTTGTTTTCGAGACATTATCCCTTAAAGTCTTTAGTGAGATTGGTTTATTGCAGATTGTTAAGATTTTTTAAAGTTATTTAAATTATCTGGGGAGACATACGCTCTGGATTCCATCTCCAGAGCAATCAGTTGGACCTCGTAGCCGGAGGCCAAGATGTCAGCCGTAAGGGGGAAAATATTTATTAATTTTACGGGAGTGAGCATGATTAATAGCCGTTTCAAATGGAACTGTAAGTTCGATGATTACAAGTATTTTCACAGATCTTTCCAAAAAATATAGATGTCCGGGATCAAGTTTGTCACAGTACATTCGGATGTGATGGTAGTGGTATTTAGAAATACAGTAACATATAGGCAAAACTTGTTGGAACTATAAGTGTTTTTTTACAACTGTCAGGTATACTTTTATCTCTGGCAGACAGTTTAATGGATATTGTAGTAAAGTTAAAAAAATAAATTAAAGGCCAACGAAGTTAAATTTTTAATGTTAAACACAATAGAATGCGTATTGAATGTCTGATAAAACCGTACTGTGAATAAGAAGTCATTATCAGCAGAAACAGCAACAACAGCAGCAACAACAACAATAACAACAACAGCAGCAGCAACAACAGTAGCAACAAACAACAGCAGCAGCAGCAACAACAACAACAGTAGTAGCAACAATACCAACAGCAGCAGCAACAACAACAGTAGCAACAAACAACAGCAGCAGCAACAACAATAACAAAAACAGCAGCAGCAACAACATTAGCAACAAACAACAACAGCAACAACAAAAACAACAACAGCAGCAGCAACAACAACAACAACAACAGCAGCAGCAACAACAACAATAACAACAGCAGCAGCAACAACAAAAACAACAGCAGCAGCAACAACAACAACAACAATAACAACAACAACAACAACAGCAACAACAATAACAACAGCAGCAGCAACAACAGTAGCAACAAACAACAACAGCAGCAACAACAATAACAGCAGCAGCAACAAACAACAGCAGAAACAACAGCAGCAGCAGCAACAACAGTAGCAACAAACAACAACAACAGCAGCAACAACAACAACAATAACAACAGCAGCAGCAACAACAGCAAAAGCAGCAGCAGCAACAAAAACAATTACCATTTCAAAAACGTAAACAAATATTCAGGAAGTTTTTGAGAATAGAATTCAACATATAAAATGGTTAAAATGATTTAACGTAATTTCCTGACTTTTATATGTGTTTTCTATCATTTATTATTGTATGTAGACATAAACAATAAGCTGTGTCATAGACGAACTCTAATGCAGATAAGAATAGGCAATATTGGATCAACAAAATAGAAAATCTCAAGATAATTATTATTAAAGAAATAATTATATTGAATGAGTATTTGATTTAATTATTTTTTAAATAATTATATTGAATGAGTATTTAAAATGATCAAATACCTTTAGTTGTGATAATTTCCCTCGTACTGATCCACTTTTTTTCAGTAAATTTTTATTTAATCACGGATGGTTCTCTATACGATGTGAAAGGGTACTATTTAAGGGTTTTATTTAAATGTTACAAATTCAATATGTAGGCCTAGTTACCATATCGACGAGTCGGATCACAGTCAACAATGTTTTGTATAGACGTGGTTTACAGTATTTTACCCCCGTTGATTTTAGTTCCTTTTATGTTGGTTCACTATAATAAGCGATCATAAGCTTTATATTACAATGTAAATTGTGAATGCAGTAGTATACACAATATTATATTTAAAAGCTATTCAAATCAAACCTATGGATATTGTCCAGGGGGTAGGATAGCAAACAAAACCTTTTTTTATCGAGAAGACTGTGAGCCCTTTAAATATGTGTTTTTGTGGTAACAAAACGATCGCTGGTAAATAAAATGATCGCTCGGTACTGTACTATGAATTACTTCAGAAAAAGTAACAAAATGTACAATAATTCACTTTACATAAATAATCATATTTTGGGCTACAAAACCTGACACAGAAGCACCGGGATGGTGTTGAGCAGTGGATGGTTTTATTATGGGTTACTTCAGTGAAAAACTGATATCATATTTCAATATGTTAAACACCATTTGTAATTTGCAAGTTATCCTTGCTAGGTAAGAATTAATCAGTATATTTTTCTGCAACTTTAGTACGACTTACACTGGACGGCCAAAATATACGTAAAGGGGTACGACTGTACTCTCGAATAGGGCCGCTTAGAACCTAGATACGCCATTGTACATTGGTTATACTATTATCCCATTTGTATAGGTCTAAAATCAATCCTGTTCTTGCATTATGAGGCTTCAATCCATATCAACGTCCTGACTTCTATTGTTTGCATTCACTAGCTTACGTTACTGTAATGCCCTATTGTGTTCATCCAATACTATATTACTTAATGTAGAACAAGAATATTTATCGATTCATTGAATAAAGAAGCCTATTATACATTTTTTGTATCATGTAATCTTGCATTAAATAGTAAGTGTTACTAATGCTACTGGTTTTTTTTTGTTGAACATTTAAAAAACTGAAATATATGCGATCATATTGAAGCACACCGAAACACCTTACTAAAACGACAATTTCAAGTTTTTAGTCATCTACAATTCCTGATTAGACTTCATATTTAACTACCAGAAGGAATTTCGATTTCTCCTTTGATGGATAATCTTAAGAATGTTATTATAGGCCTACTGTACAAAAAATAAGACGATTGCATCGTATAATTTTTTTTTAATCGTTTATTTAAAATATAGCCACTGCACTCTATATACAAAAGTAATATACACAAGATGCTTAAGCTGAAGCACTTTTTTATACAAAACGTTTGCATTTTGAAACAAATACTGTCAAGTATTCTTTTATCTCTGGAAGACAGTTTAATGGATATTTTAGTAAAGTCTGCATATTTTTCGATTCACATCTCACTTTAACTTTTCTATATTATGAACCACTTGGACACTTTGAAGGATAGGATTTACAGGTAAACCGTTTTAAAGAGATTTTAAGGCCATCGAAGTTAATTTTTTTTATGTGAAACAATAGAATGCGTATTGAATGTCTGATAAAACCGTAGGCCTACGGTGAATAAGAAGTCATTATCAGCAAAAACAGCAACAACAGCAGCAGCAACAACAACAAAAAAGCAGCAACAACAACAACAGTAGCAACAATATCAACATCAGCAGCAGCAGCAACAACAGCAGCAACAACAACAATAGCATCAACAAAACAACAGCAGCAACAGCAACAGCAACGACAACAACAACAGCAGCAGCAACAACAATAGCATCAACAAAACAACAGCAGGAACAACAACACAGCAACAACAACAGCAACAACAACAATAGCATCAACAAAACAACAACAGCAACAACAAAAACAGCAGCAGCAGCAACAACAACAGCAGCAACAACAATAGCATCAACAAAACAACAGTAGCAACAACAACAACAACAGCAGCAACAACAACAGCAGCAGCAGCAACAGCAACAACAACAACAGGAACAGCAACAAAAACAATTACCATTTCAAAAACGTCAAGAAATATTCAGGAATATTTTTTGAGATTAGAATTCAACATATAAAATGGTTAAATGATTTAACGTAATTTCCTGATTTTTTTTCTTGCGTTTACTAGCATTTATTATTGTATGTAGACATAAACAATAAGCTGTGTCATAGACGAACTCTAATGCAAATAAGAATAGGCAATATTGGATCAACAAAAAAGAAAATCTCAAGATAATTATTATTAAAAAAATAATTATATTGAGTGAGTATTTAATTTAATTATTTTTAAAATAATTATTTTATATGCGTTTACTATCATTATTTTATTATTGTATGTAGACATAAACAATAAGCTGTGTCATAGACGAACTCTAATGCAGATAAGAATATAGGCAATATTGGATCAACAAAAAAGAAAATCTCAAGATAATTATTATTATTAAAAAAATAATTATATTGAATGAGTATTTAATTTAATTATTTTAAAAATAATTATATTGAATGAGTATTTAATTTAATTATTTTTAAAATATATCGAATGAGTATTTAAAATGATCAAATAGGCCCCTACCCTTAGTTGTGATAATTTCCCTCGTACTGATCCACTTATTTCAGTAAATTTTTATTTAATCACGGATGGTTTTCTATACGATGTGAAAGGGTACTATTTAAGGGTTTTATTTAAATGTTACAAATTCAATATGTAGGCCTAGTTTCCATATCGACGAGTCTGGATCACAGTCAACAAAGTTTAGTATAGACGTGGTTTACAGTATTTTACCCCCGTTGATTTCAGTTCCTTTTATGTTGGTTCACTAAATAGGCGATCATAAGCATTAGATTACAATGTAAATTGTGAATGCAGTAGTATAGGCAATATTATATTTAAATGCTATTCAAATCAAACCTATGGATATTGTCCAGGGGTAGGATAGCAAACAAAACTTTTTTATCGAGAAGACTGTGAGCCCTTTAAATATGTGTTTTTGTGGTAACAAAACGATCGCTGGTAAATAAAATGATCGCTCGGTGTAATTGGATTCCCATACTATTTCCATCTTTTCCCCCCTCTGGAACTATCACTGTCTAAATTCGCAGTTAGAAAGTCTAGCTCTTAGCAAGTATGGATCTAATCTAAAGATGTAGTGTAAATAAATATTCTTGTGCCGAAACCTATAGGCTCAGAAATACAAGATGGTATCCGAGAGTTGATAGTACTATGGATTATTTCTCAGAAAAAAAGTAACAAAATGTACAATGATTCACTTTACATAAATAATCATATTTTGGGCTACAAAACCCGACACAGACAGAAACACCGGGATGATGTTGAGCAGTGGATGGTTTTATAATGGGTTACTTCAGTGAAAGACATCATATTTCAATATGTTAAACACCATTTGCAATTTGCAAGTTATCCTTGCTATGTAAGAATAAATCAGTATATTTTTCTGCAACTTTAGTACGACTTACACTGGACGGCCAAAATATACATCAAAGGTGTACGACTGTACTCTCGAATAGGGCCGCTTAGAACCTAGGTACGCCACTGTATATTGGTCATTATTACCGCATTTGATAAATTCTCTTCTTGCATCATGAGGCTTCAATCCATATCAACGTCCTGACTTCTATTGTTTGCATTCACTAGTTGACGTTACTGTAATGCCCCTTTTTGTTCATCCAATCACTTAATGTAGAACAAGAATATGTATCGATTCATTTAATAAAGAAGCCTATTATACATTTTTTGTATCATGTAAACTTGCATTGAATATAAGTGTTACTAATGTTACTTGCTTTTTGGTGAAATTTAAAGAACTGAAATATATGCCATCATATTGAAGCACATCAAAATACCTTACTAAAACGACAATTTCAAGTTTTAATCATCTACAATTCCTGATTAGACTTCATATCTAACTACCAGAAGGAATTTCGGTTTCTCCTTTGATGGATAATCTTAAGAATGTTATTATACCGTACTGCACAAAAAATAAGACGATGGCATCGTATAATTGTTTTTTTAATCGTTTATTTAAAATATAGCCACTGCACTCTATATAAAAAAGTAATATACACAAGATACTTAAGCTGAAGAACTTTTTTATACAATCGTTTGCATTTTGGAACAAATACTGTCAAGTATACTTTTATCTCTGGAAGACAGTTTAATGAATATTTTAGTAAAGTCTGCATATTTTTCGATTCATATCTCACTTTAACTTTTCTATATTATGAACCACTGGCACAATTTGAAGGAATGGATTTACAGGTAAACCGTTTTAAAGAAATTTTAAGGCCATCGAAGTTAAATTTGTAATGTGAAACACAATAGAATGTGTATTGAATGTCTGATAAAACCGTACTGTGAATAAGAAGTCATTATCAGCAAAAACAGCAAAAACAGCAGCAGCAGCAACAAAAACAATTACCATTTCAAAAACGTAAACAAATATTCAGGATGTTTTTGAGAATAGAAGTCAACATATAAAATGGTTAAAATGATATAACGTAATTTCCTGATTTTTATATGTGTTTCCTATCATTTATTATTGTATGTAGACATAAACAATAAGCTGTGTAATAGACGAACTCTAATGCAGATAAGAATAGGCAATATTGGATCAACAAAATAGAAAATCTCAAGATAATTATTATTAAAAAAATAATTATATTGAGTTAGTATTTAATATAATTATTTTTTTAATAATTACATTGAATGACTATTTAATTTAATTATTTTTTAAATATTTATGTTGAATGAGTTTAACATGATCAAATACATTTAGTTGTGATAATTTCCCTCGTACTGATCCACTTTTTTCAGTAAATTTTTATTTAATCACGGATGGTTTTCTATACGATGTGAAAGGGTACTATTTAAGGGTATTGTTTAAATGGTACAAATTCAATATGTAGGCCTAGTTTCCATATCGACGAGTCGGGATCACAGTCAACAAAGTTTAGTATAGACGTGGTTTACAGTATTTTACCCCCGTTGATTTCAGTTCCTTTTATGTTGGTTCACTATAATAGGCGATCATAAGCATTAGATTACAATATAAATTGTGAATGCAGTAGTATAGGCAATATTATATTTAAATGCTATTCAAATCAAACCTATGGATATTGTCCAGGGGGTAGGATAGCAAACAAAACTTTTTTATCGAGAAGACTGTGAGCCCTTTAAATATGTGTTTTTGTGGTAACAAAACGATCGCTGGTAAATAAAATTATCGCTCGGTGTTATTGGAGTCCCATACTATATTTCCGTTTTTTCCCCCTCTGGAACTATCACTGTCTCGCAGTTAGCAAGTCTAGCTCTTAGCATGTATCTAATCTAAAGATGTAGTGTAAATAAATATTCTTGTGCCGAAACCTAGGCTCAGAAATACAAGACGGTATCCGAGAGTTGATAGTAGGCCTACTATGGATTACTTCAGAAAAAAAGTAATTAAATGCACAATAATTCACTTTACATAAATAATCATATTTTGGGCTACAAAACCCGACACAGACAGAAACACCGGGATGATGTTGAGCAGTGGATGGTTTTATAATGGGTTACTTCAGTGAAAGACATCATATTTCAATATGTTAAACACCATTTGCAATTTGCAAGTTATCCTTGCTATGTAAGAATAAATCAGTATATTTTTCTGCAACTTTAGTACGACTTACTAATAGTAGGCCTACTATGGATTACTTCAGAAAAAAGGTAATTAAATGCACAATAATTCACTTTACATAAATAATCATATTTTGGGCTACAAAACCCGACACAGACAGAAACACCGGGATGATGTTGAGCAGTGGATGGTTTTATAATGGGTTACTTCAGTGAAAGACATCATATTTCAATATGTTAAACACCATTTGCAATTTGCAAGTTATCCTTGCTATGTAAGAATAAATCAGTATATTTTTCTGCAACTTTAGTACGACTTACACTGGACGGCCAAAATATACATCAAAGGTGTACGACTGTACTCTCGAATAGGGCCGCTTAGAACCTAGGTACGCCACTGTATATTGGTCATTATTACCGCATTTGATAAATTCTCTTCTTGCATCATGAGGCTTCAATCCATATCAACGTCCTGACTTCTATTGTTTGCATTCACTAGTTGACGTTACTGTAATGCCCCTTTTTGTTCATCCAATCACTTAATGTAGAACAAGAATATGTATCGATTCATTTAATAAAGAAGCCTATTATACATTTTTTGTATCATGTAAACTTGCATTGAATATAGGTGTTACTAATGTTACTCGCTTTTTGGTGAAATTTAAAGAACTGAAATATATGCCATCATATTGAAGCACATCAAAATACCTTACTAAAAGGACAATTTCACTTTTTCAGTCATCTACAATTTCTGGTAAGGCTTCATATCTAACTACTCCCTTGATGGATAATCTTAAGAATGTTATTATACTGTACAAAAAATAAGACGATGACATCGTATAATTATTTTTTGAATCGTTTATTTAAAATATAGCCACTGCACTCTATATACAAAATTAATATACACAAAATACTTAAGCTGAAAATTTTTTTTTTATACAATCAGTTTGCATTTTGGAACAAAAATAATCATCTTGAATTTTAACATATTACGCATTTATTAAAATAATTATTCAATAATATGGATTTGCATATACAGAGCATATTTAAACCACTTGGAACTATTCACGTAGCATACTATAAGAGCAAATATGCAATCAACTTTTAATAAGACCCAAACCGAAACAATTTTCAACTGGTTTACAGATTTGGAAATAATGACTAAGTTGCTAGGCAAAAAATTTAAAGGTACCGTTATATGCATAAGAATCCCTGTTCAGGGGCCAAGATTTTTTCTACCCAATGTACAAAGACGAAATGATTGGCTTCTTTCCTGAAGTGGGGACCAGGATACTTCGATGACATCCCCCACCCTATACTGGTGATGCCACTGAATCTGTTTACAAAAATAATTGATTCAAATATTGATTGCATGTTGCTAAAAAAATAAATAATTTAAGAATCAAGGTGATTTATGATTGGGTCAAAAATATTTCCACTGCCCAAACATAGTGACATTTAACAATAATATTTTCAAGTAATTTATGCCTAGGCCTAAACCAAACTAACCTATGTTTAAAAGTTCCCCTTCAAAACATTACTAAAACTATAATAAAAAAAAAATCTGGCCCTTGGTTTGTAATGGACCTGTCCGCTAAGTCCCGCCCAATAGATATTGATGCTAAGGTCCCACAAAATGACAGTGACAACACGTATTCCAGGTCTTGTTCTGATTGGTCAGTTGTTAAGTTTGATTGACACGCTGGGAAGGTCCATTTTGGGTGGGTGGGTCTTGGGCATCTCAATCTATTTTTGGCCTTATCTTTTTAAAGCTCTGTCCACACTATTACATTTTCTTTGACAAAATACTGTTACATGCCCATATATAGTCATGATGTGCCTATATGTGGTCATGATGTGATGTCATGATGACCATATATAGGCATGTCACATGTTTTGTCAAATAATACTGGATAGTCTGGACAGGGCTTTAAAATTAAATGCTATTTAGCTTATTGTGTAATGATGATGTGAACACAGTCTGTGTACAAATATAAATATATTAAAATAAAATTGAATTATGAATTACCTTGCTGTAAATAATTGACTGAATGTATTTGACAATTTTACAGCATTGCTGTATGTATGAGTTTAGCCTATGTCAAAATATCCACAGCAGAATTAGCTTATCTAGCACATGATTTTCTAGACTTGCCACAAGTCCCTTATTGTTACTTTTTTTACTTATTCTGGACAGCGCCACCAACGAGCAAGTTAATTTTGAGACAGAATAAGTAAAAAATCGAGTATGGGATGCCAAATAAATTAAGTAGGGTGCGGAATAAGCGCAATAAAGAGTTGGTAACCCACAAATAGGGCCTCGAACCCAGGCTAATGATTTCCAAAAGCTTCCTCATGATTTTCCTTACAATTGCAACATGATTAGCAATTTAACCAATCCGCATTTAAAATGTTCATTCTTAATCTCTCTCAACACTATCACATTTTCTTTGACAAAAACTGTTGTATGCCCACATATAGTAATTACGTACCAATATATGGTCATGATTTGATGTCCCACATTTAGGCGTCCAATAAAATTTGACAAGTCTGGACAGAGCCTAAGTATACAAACTCATACAGTTGAGTATCAGAGAAAAAAAATAAATAGTGGTATTAATGTACAACTTTACTAGATAGGGTGAGACTTTTTTTATTCCTTGTTTCGCGAACTTATATTTTTAAAGTTCGTCAGAGCCGGGTGAAAAAAAAAAACCAAAAATAAAATTTTGTTTTCTTGTTTAGCCAAAAACAAATTTTGTTTTCTTGTGTAGCCAAAAACATCCTGACGGAGGAATGTAAACAGTGTAGTAATGGAATGGTTAAATTTATAAATATAGGAAGAAATATAAATATTTTATTTTTGGAGATTTCAAGGCAGCCACAGACGTAATAAAAATAAAGAAATTTTCTGAAATTTTCATTTTTTCACGGGGGCGGGTGCACTTATTAGCCAAGAATAAAATTTTATTTTTATTCTAAATTAACAATATTGGAGGGCGGTGGGTTCATGAAACAAGGAATAAAATAAGCCTCGCCTAGAGTATTTGATACATTTTCATCAAGTATTTTGAATAATATGATAATGAGGCAATGGGTTTTTAATTTACTCTTGATAAGTAAAAAAAAAAAATACAAAATTCAAACAAGGTAATTTTCTTAATACAAAATTTGAAATATAAAAGATGATCATAAAATTTACATTCAATTGGACGGATTAATAATTTGGAATGATTATTAAGTATTTTTTGTTGTTAAGGTGAACACTGTAGCAATGGTTAATGGTTTCTTGGGTGAAAAAAACAAATTTCAGAATTATAGCCCAAGATATGGAATGGGCTTATAGGGAGTACTGGAATGCGAAACATATTCACTCATGCATGACAGAGGTCTTTTTCGTTCTAAAGTAACTCCATTTTGATTCCTTACAAAGCACATGCGGAGATGTTACGAACACAAAGACCGATGCAATAATGTTTAATACAGCACAGTCCTTGAAACACTGTTTTAGATTTCAGGAGTGTTCAGAAATGCGCAGTTAAACTAACATGATCTCATTACAGTATATTCTACATCATTGAAAATCGAAAGCCCTAATAATTAACTGTCGCCATCATCCCACAAAAAGTGCATCGACTCTTGGTTGCTGGTGCAACGTGCCTAATAGACGAAAATTATTTAGGTTTCTCCAGCTTCCACCAAGCAGATTTGTCTACTTTGTTTCTTTCCTACATTCTTCTTTGGAAATCTTACATATGTTTTATTTTAAATACATATACAATAATATCACAAGATGGAAAATCTACTGCTATTAAGGGGCATTCACACCGAATCCAAATTTTCGGATCAGGAGGCCTACCGAACCAATAAAAACTGAATCAGCGTGTAAAAAGAGGGATGCTGGATGCAGCTTCTGTCAAATTTTTTTTGCATTAAATATTTGGAATTTATTCCAAATAAAAATTAAAAACCATGTACATAATTTTATTTCATTACAATTCACCGTGTTGAATGTCAACAATCTTCAGTAATTCTCAGATTTTAAAATCCTAAAAAAATATTTGGCAGTCACTGATCATCAAGGCTTAAATGCTGCCCTTAACATATACAGATCTCCCTCCAATTAAAGACCCCCAACTAAAAACCACCTCCAATTAAAGACCACTTTTCTGTGGTCACAAATTAACAAATGTCTTTTATCTTTTTTATCTTACTTAGAGACCAAAGATGCTAAAGACAGTGAAAACTCCGGTCCGAAAAGTGGTCTCTAATTGGTGGGAGACCTGCAGTACGTACTAGACACTGAAAAATAAATGACGTAAATTTGTTTCTCAAAAACCACTGGTTAAGTGTACACATCAATTTGAAAATGAAAGTATACCATTCTTGAAGATTTTTTTTAACACAGACAAATTGTAATATTGTACGTCTGTAGCCATGTATTAAAAAATACGATTAGCTGTATCACAATGTCACATTGATACAGAATGGTATAAATAACATAGGGCCATAGATTTATATTTATCAGTTGTTTGCCTATTACCAGGCTTATCGAATTTCAAATCAAAATTGTGCATAGTTCTATCTACATGTTATTAAGTGGTTAATAACCAATACCCAAAATAAACTTTAAAAAGACAAGCATTAAAATGACTAGTAAAACATTCTTTGTAAGTTGGCAATTTGATAAAAAAAAAACTTTGGAGAAATTGTCATGAAAGACTAAGGGCATGAAAGAAAAAATTATATAAATGACAGAGGGTAGTGTGAAACTAAGGCTTGGTGAACATGGATCACAAGTTGGGAAGAGCTACTACAGGGAGAAGTAGTTTAATGAGCTTTCTGAACATGGTTTTTCAAAAATCGAATTTTATATCATGCTAAAATATACTCTAGCACAGAAAGCAAATTCTAAGTATCATATGAACATTTTACTTCAATTTTGTTTACCAGTTAATGACCCATTTTGAGTTTCTGGTTTTTAATATCCCAGTTAAGTTGGTCATAAAAAAATGACTGAACGTCTGTTTGGTCTGCCAAAAAGTTTGAGAACCATCTTATTGTACCTTGCTAGAGACAGTGACACCTATGACTAGCCAAATTGCGAGATGTTGGTTAATTGCAGAAGGGTTTTAATTGTGTGCACAAGACTGCTGGTTTCCCTGAAAGTCTCATGCAACTTGCAGGTGATATGCAGGCGATTTGGGATGCATGTGTGGATACGGTGTTGGCCAAGAATCCTGGGTTCAACACTGGCAAAAAATATGGTTTGGTGGTTAGCATTACGTCAAGGTGGTTTTGCTTATAAATGAAACTTCCATCGCACATGCTGTTTAAAAGCAAAAAGCCAAGTACATTGGAAAGTTGAACAGTCATATGCACACTCCAGTATTCTACTGTAACTAGACAGCATTTCCCAGACACTCTCTATCATTCTTCAGCAGATGGTCCACATCCACCTCAGCCCTCTATTGGCCGAAAACTCTCAGGCCAGTTGTATCTGGCTTAAAAAATGATTCTAATTTAAATTTAAACCGACAAAATTTTTCTGCAACTCCCAACGGATGGGCCAGGTGTTCCTGTCCCTGGCCCACCCACTGGTGCAACCCCTGTTAACTAGAATTAAATGTTTGCACTACAGGAACAACCATTTTGTTTCTTACATTACACTTTTTTGAAGACCAAATGCTATACAGTAGATTTAGCATTATAGTAACTCTGCCTCCATTTTGTATAAATTAAATTTTATGAAGAATTTACCAAATCATCACTTCATCATCTTAGCTTGTTCCTCCAAAAACAGAAGCTGATCAACGAGGAAGCAGTCACTAGGGTTACGGACAAACTGTCGAAGACCCTTCATGATCGCATTCTCATCCAATGTTGCCATGCCGCCTTTCTTGTCACCAAATCTTGCGTCCTTTAGGAATGCGTATGCTTTCCGGAATGCATCTTTCCCTAATTTCTTTTCACATTCTCTGAGAAATGGGTGTTAAGGAAATGGTACACTCAGGCCGTGTTTTCACAGCACTTATTACATGATAAATTATTGGAAAGCAGTCATTTTGTTATTTTTCTCTGCGGAAACGGCCCAAAGTTCCAAATAAAATTTTTTTTAATGAGAATCTGATAATGCATGGGTAAATGCGAAAATCAATAATCTTTGACCGATGTCAAATCATGGTCATGCAAAAATTATTTTGGTTAGTTAGTTTCTAAGGCAACTAATAGTTAGTAGACCTAGGGGCATGGTATCAAACACTTCAAAATAAAAAGTGAATAACTTTTTCATGCTTATTAAATATAAAAAAAAGCGCCTGAAAACGGCTGCGCTCGACGTCAACAGTGCCCGGCTGGGCCTAGATCTATCCCTACCTATCGTTTATTATATTGTAAACCACACAAGAGCAAGCATTCTTTTTCGTCGTCTCTATAGAAGCTGTCTCTTATACACATCTAGATGTGTATAAGAGACAGGTGTGAAACTAAGGCTTGGTGAACATGGATCACAAGTTGGGAAGAGCTACTACAGGGAGAAGTAGTTTAATGAGCTTTCTGAACATGGTTTTTCAAAAATCGAATTTTATATCATGCTAAAATATACTCTAGCACAGAAAGCAAATTCTAAGTATCATATGAACATTTTACTTCAATTTTGTTTACCTTCAGATAATTTATTGGAGAAATTATTGGAGAAATTATAAAAATTCTGCGGAAACAAGGCCTTAGACAATTTATACATCAGACTGCTAATTTGACACTGATCTTATCATTATTCTTTTCATTGTTGCCGATTGCTGCTACCACTCACATCCCGCACTGCTCCTAATAATGCTACAACTACTATTACTTCTATTACCACTACCACATAAGTAAGGATACATTCTTAGATTCTTGATTTTGGTGGTACGCACTGCTGGTGAGAAAACTCCAACCGTGTCATCAGTGATTGTAGCATTGTTATCTAAAACGATAAATAATAATGAAGAATTAATATAACAATGGCACCAGCAATGATAGCAAGAACAACAATGATAACATTAATATTAAAATAAATATAACAATAGTAATTTTATTGCATACCTTGTACAGTTGAGTCTAGAGCACTCTGCAGACAATTCATCAACGCACCACAATCATCCTGAAATTACAAACATAAACACTTTAAATTATATTTAATAGTTTAATAGTTTTAATATTGCTGATTAGTATAGAGCTGTGATTCTTTTATAAACGCATAAAAAAAGAATAGCTAGAATTATGAAAAAAACCTGTATCAGAATATTTATTTCAAATTCAGATTTTCTTTTCATAAAGTTTTATATATGTTCATATTTGTCCCTCCAATCCTTATCAGTGGTGTATCTAGGGGTGTGCATCCCCCCTTCTTAAAAATCATGCACTCCCCAGACTCCCCCTCCCATTGAAATTTTTGAAGCGAAAAAATCATGCTCAAGTAGATAAAAATTACTTCATATCACCATATTCTGCAAGCTAGCACCTTCTCGCTTAATCATCAAGCCCCTCTACTTCACCTTTGCACCACCGCCCCCCCATCATCCCCCATTTTAATATTCTTAGATATGCCACTGATCATTATTACAGTGATATAATTTGCAGTCAATTTCTAAAACCATGAAATAAGGCAAGGTGATACAGTATACCGCAAATAAAAAAAAAAAATCACCTCTTGGTCGTCGTCTTCATCTTCATCAACATCCGAATCAGATTCAAATTCCTCATGCTGAGAGTAGAACGTGTCAGCGGCATCAGCATCCTCCGGTATCTGGTTTAAAATTTCCTGTGGAATTACCTGCTCTTTAGGCTTGTTTTCCGCGGAAAGATTACTTGATTCGTGCGAATTATTCTTGTTGCCGTTTTCAACGGATTTCTTCTTTGGAAGCAATTTAACACCTGGTGGCGCTGCCATCGAGATATTTGGATCATCAAAGTCGATGGAATTTTTTTTCATTGGCGTGATTGGACGATCATCATATGATGAATTTATACTTAGAGTCTGTTGCGGAGCTGAAGAGAACAAGGTAACGATGAAGAATAATTAAGAAATCCTTTGTACAAATTATATATCATATCAAATGATTATAATAAATAATATACTTCACAGTAATAATGAATTATATAGTAGTAGTAGTTGCAGTAGTAATAATAGTAGAAACTGTAGTGGTGGTAGAAGTAGTAACATAATTTTAAGTAATGGATTCACATATTTTTAAAATGTACACAATTAATAGTACAGATACCTTGTCTTATGGTTCCAATTTCTTCTCTATCGAAATAATGGCCTGTGTCGGTGTTAGCGTAGTATTCGTCGTCTGCATGGTAATCAGAGATATCAGGAGTGCTGGGAGGAAGATTGGCTCGGAATGCTGGGTCATTGTACACGTCAGGGTTATCTACAACCCACGGTATACGCTGTGATGGGAATAATAATTAAAAATACACATAATTGGCAGTGATGTTAGTAGTATTTTGAAGAGATGCACATCTTTCAATTAAATAAATACCCCTTATAAAAATAGAACCATCTGCATTGTTGGTGTGTGTATTTAAAGAAACAATAGCATTAGTACACTCACAAAATCAACTTAATGAATGAAATCAGGGCTGGAAACAAAGTCTATTACCATTTTTATTTGAATAAATGCTCTGCTTTGTATAAACACCCCCCTCTTCATTTGGAACAAACGCCTCCTTTAAATAAATTCCCCTTAAAACCCTTCTCAACAATTAATGCCCTGGGGCGTTTATTCGAATAAATACGCTAAGTTTTTGTCTAAGAATTGTTTGAACCAACAAAAACAATTAAGTGTCTGATTTGAACCCTTTATTTCAAGGTTGAGGGCTTGATATGGGAAAGCTGCTTCAACCACTTTTCTTATCAGTCAGTCACTCAATCAGTTCAACCACTGATTCTTATTGTTAATGAAGGTTATTTCTCTTCACTTACCTTTGAGGTACCTCCTTGCCAAACCGGTGGTTTTATTGTACCCATATCCTCTTGAATTTGGGTCTTTCTTTGGACGTTGTCAGCTAGATTTTTCCGAGCTTCATAACTGGGAAGAGAGGTTTATACTTAATTCCTAAAGTTAAGCAATTTTATATGATCAGGTTGGACTTATTCACTTTCTGAATATCGCCCTCACCATCAGTCTGCACTTAAAATTTTGAGCTTTCTTGTTAACATTTTATAATTAAAATATAACATAACTTACTCTTACAGTACCAACACAGTACTGCATTGCTTTTAACGATTATGCTTGCTTATTGTTGCTTAATAAAATATGAGTTCTTAATTTAGTCTTAAACATGTTACCTCTGTCTTGTCACTGTTTGTAACAATAATAGGAAACCATGACAACTTCATTGGCAACCATACTGGAATATTAGTCGTATTGATGACAATAATTAGGAAACTGATTGTTATTTGCACAAATAACTGATACCAACAAGAATATTATGATAGTAACCTAAAATCAAATCCACTTCATCATATTGTAAAAATGACAATAAAAACTATCTGACTGTATTTTACGATGCTGAGTCTATTGTTATTATTGTGTTTCACACAACCTTTTGTTCGAAAATTCTATAAATACATTTTATGGTACACATAAAATGGGTGTTATGTTACCAGTATTCTTGTGTAAGGTAAGGTATAAACTGCATGTGTGAAATTTTTTTTTTTTAATTATTATTTTTTTGTCTGTTTACATTAATAATTATTCTTTTAACACTAGTTTAAAATAAATTTCTGTTTCTTGCAAAAAAAAAAAATCTCTTCTATTTTGTTACTGACAAATCTCTAAGAACAACATGGATGGATTTTTTTTTGTGTAAACAGAAAAGATAACCCACAAGTCTGAAGAAGACTTATTTCCAGTGGTGTCTTTCTGATGGTGATTGGGCAGTACACTGGGAGACAACCCCCAAGTCTTTTCTGAAGAGTGTACTGCGTTCTTTAACGTGCACATGGGCCGTATTTCAAACAGGACCAACGGCTTAAACGGATGGAAATTGAACCAGGAACCAAGAGATTTCCACGGTTCATCGCACACACAGTGGCTACCAACAGTTGAATATTTTTAGTTTTAGGTGCATTTTACGTTTCTACAGATATGTTATTTTATTATCATACAAACAGGCACGTCTTTTGATGACAGTATTTTTCATTTTTGCCTTTACTGGTTCCTCTAGAATTGTTCCTTATTTGTTGTTTGTTTAGAATTAGTAGTTGGCATATGTAATGTTCTTTTGTAACTTGATTACAAGTGAAGTTTTAATGTTTTAACAGCATTTCATCATAGACCTCTTTTCCAAATAGTTTGCTACTCTTCACCATTTTATACTTGTTTATACACTATTGGTATTTGAGAATATTGAGCACTATGCTGCCTGTTGTCATTTTATGTGTTTATACTGGTTAATTTAATAAACTTACCTCAGAAGTTTTGCATTTCCATCTGCCTTTTGCATTTTCTTCAATCTCATTTTCTTCAATTGTTCATTATTTGTTGTTTGTTTAGAATTAGTAGTTGGCATATGTAATATTCTTTTGTAACTTGATTACAAGTAAAGTTTTAATGTTTTAACAGCATTTCATCATATAACTCTTTTCCAAATAGTTTGCTACTCTTTACCATTTTATACTTGTTTATACACTATTGGTATTTGAGAATATTGAGTCCTATGTTGCCCGTTGTCATTTTGTGTGTTTATACCGGATAATTGAATAAACTTACCTTAGAAGTTTTGCTTTTTCATCCGCTTTTTGCATTTTCTTCAATCTCATTCGCTCTCTGGGTGTCATGTGCTTAAGTTCTGCCTGTTTCCTCTGTAGGCTTTCATTTTGTAGATCTTCAAGGTGGGTCTTTTCTCGTAACATCCTGGCAATATCATCCGCATCAGTTTTCTGACTCTGGAGGTCATCTTTATGTTCCTTGAACTCTGCAATCTTGTTTTTCATTTTCTTTAAATGATAAAAAAAATATATATTTATTCTTGAACTTCAAAATAAAAAAAAAATCTAATATCAGAATAAGGGCCTATTTACACAGAGCACGGGAACGGCATGCGACAGCGCATGAAATATAGAACCTATTATTTTCTTTATGGTGGTCCACACTTAGCGCAGCATAGAAACTTTTCTATTTCCAAAGACTGTTCAAATTTTCTGACCAATCATTGACTCCGGTCATCCTTCGCTGATCATGTAGACTGAAGAACAAGCCATGAAAGTTGTGTGCCTGGCAACTGTTATCGCACACTGTGTGAAACGATTTTACTGTGCAACAGAATATTTTTATCGCTGTTGCAGGCCGCTGTCGCGCTCTGTGTTAATATAGGGATTAAGTGTAACACTGCCATTGTGATATTTCTTGAAAACTGTGCAATCGTATGGCTAAATTAAAGGTGAATCGGTAACAGTGAAATAGTGAATACCTCTATATGTCGTGCTACAAAGTCTATTTTAGTGATTTCGGTTGCAGATGGTCTCTTGGAAGGATCTTTTTCTAGTAACCTGGAAAAAATTAAATAATTTACAAATAAATTGCTCCTTGTAAGATAATTGGAAAAAATGCTGTAAACATGATGTGCTAAATTTTGAGATATTCATTTTGAAATCACCATTCATTGTCTTCGCAAGAGTGATGCCAACAGGCTATAGTGACCTTATGGAAACCACGCTATAACTCAGGTTACTCATACATGCCAGTTAACCACCCGTTCCACTCTGTTAACGTTTATGTTTACGAAGGTACATCCTGCAAAGGATCTGAGGATCCATAATTGCAGGGCAACAGGGATGTGTGGACTAGTTAAAAACAACTATACATCTTGAGAGATGTACTGGGTTCTTTTAAGTGCACATGAGCTAATTGTGTAGACTGGGCCTACAGTTCATAGTTCTTGACCGAGAAGACAGGTTGTGGCGATGCCTTAAATGCTCAGGCATCCGACTCGCCTTGTTGCTGGTAAAATTACACCAATTTATGGTCGACTACTCACCTTTGTATAAGTTGACGTAGATTCTGATGATATGCATCGGGTATCTCCGGCTTGTTGCCTTCAACTATCTTATACATGATACCCATTAAGGACTGGCCTTCAAATGCATGTTGCAAAGCACAGATCTCATATAGTATACAAGCAACAGACCTACAGAGGTACAGTATAAGGATCGGGTAAACTTTAGTGACAATGGTTTCTTTTTCATTATTTACATCGATCTGGAGTAGTTTACTTTAAAAAATGCATTGCCTGTGGGTATGAGTGCTGGACAAAATTTGCCTGTTTTACTGGTAGGTAAGATTTTGCTGTACTTTTGCTGTAATTTTCCCAGTTCATTAAAACTGCAGGCACTAAGACTAAGAGCGCTGCAAGCTAACTACATAAAACAGAATGTGAGCCTGGCGGGCATGAACAGCCAGCATGCGGTGCTCACGCAAAGAAAATCATCTTTTGTCCCACCTTAACTCTGTGAAGGCTGTGTGCTGGACTAGCCTGCACGGGCAGTTGGGTGATGTGGCATTCTTTGCTTGCGGGCGAAGTGCAGGCAAAAGTGCACAGCCCACAATTGGTACAAAACATATTTTTACAAGAAGTACACACTGATGAGGGCAAGCAAGCATTTATAAATACAGTAGAACCCCTATTAAAATAGTATACTTTAACAGGGGTGTCCCCTGCATAGGGGTTGGCTGTAGCATTGAAAGATATACTTTCCTTGATTGCATGGCTAAAAAAGTGTCCTCTTAATAGGGGTATCCCAATGGAGGGATTCTACTGTATATCTATTTTAGTCATTAGCAATCAGGTGGTAAACATTGGGGAATGGAACATCCACCCTGCCCTCATCCCCAACCTCTCTGCATTAGACACTATAACAGACATTTTTTTGCTTTTTTCTTTCTTTTGTCTTGTAATTGTTTTTGTAATTTAAATTTTGTTAATGTTTACTTTTAAAATAGCCTTGTGAAAAACACATTTAATATGTGATCAAGTTTTCTGTTTTCAAATAAAGCCATTATTATTATTATTATAATGTGAAGGTAATAGGCAGTAAGTAAACTTAAACTTACCATAAATCTGATTTGGAGTTATATCCCTCATGTTTGAGTACTTCTGGGCTCATGTAGTAAGGTGTTCCGATAAATGTGCTTGCATAGTCAGTTGTCCCCATCAATACGCGTGATATACCAAAATCCCCAATTTTAATCATGTTATTCTTTAAAAAGATGTTGGATGTCTTCAGATCTCGGTGGAGCACTTTCCTGTAAATATAACATGAACAATTCAAAAGCAATGAAAACTAATAAGAAATAAAAACTAATTTTATGACTGAAAGAAATAAATGCAACTCACCGTTTATGCATATGTTGAACAGCCAGGACTAGCTGCACAAACCAGTCCATAACAACCCCTTGGTCAAAGCGCTTGCCAGCTTTCTTCCATGCTGTAATCTTGTCACTCAGGTCTCCACCCTGTGTGGTTTATTGAACAATTTTATACAATTATTTAATTTAATTATTTAATAATTTCAATATAGATCAAATGAATAACAAGGATATATTTTAACATTAATTTTTTTTAGTGTTAATTAGTTTTGCTTGCAAATTGGCATAAAAAAAGGCCACAGATGTGCAATCCGTGGCCTACGGACCCCAATTTTGCTCCGTAGCGTCTAAGTCAAGTATTTATTAATTTATAAACATAGTTAATAACTATTAATTATAAATATAGTTTATAATATAAGAGCAGAAAAACCAAGGAGGCAGAGCCTGTGTTTGTGGTCTCAGATATAACTTAAATAAATAATATATCTTAGCTACAGAATCAATTAATTTATCAACCAACAAATTAAACATGATGTCACCATGAGCCGGACACACTGCACAGATGTTCTCCGGTCGCACCGCAATTCCTTGGAGACGGCAAAGCGGCAAAGAGCGCTCAACAAGAAGTATTTTCAATGACAATCCACTTAACCTTCCGCTGGCAATCTGCAGATTGCATCGTGTTATCAAGCACTCACGCAGAGTGGTAAGGATTCGTCAGAGCCTGGCTAATACAAATTATCATATTGTAACTGAACAATATGCTACCCCTCGCGACAGGATTCATTACAACTGCTTCATCGTACAGTCTCTAGATTTTAATCTACTAACTACAGTATCAGCCTACCTCACAATACTCCGTAATAATGCAGAAGAATTCTCCATCCAGAAAGCTGTCATAATATCTAACAATATTTGGGTGTTGTAGTCGTGATAATAGCTTAGCCTCATGCATTGCACCTACTGTCTCATCTGGGGCTAGTTCTCCACAAGGAATCTCCTTCAGAACTTTCCTAAAAACAAGATACAACATTTGTGATAATCCAAAGCCAGAGGTGAACAGGGCTCCGGGGAATGGAGCCGAAATATACTATTTAGCGCAGCAGGTGAGTACCTGTAGTAATCTTCTTGTTTACTTTATTACCACCACGACTGACACTAACAATAATAATACAGAGGGTTGGACTGGCCACAAACAATGCAAACATACAATGAAGTTTATATAAAATAATAAAAAAAACTAGAGATTTTCTAATTCGTTTCATCTATCATTTTCTATAGGAATCTTAAAGCCGGGCACTCACTAAACCCGTAGGTCCTCAGCAAACATGATTCCATAGAAAATGCAATGCCACAACGCAAGAGCAACAGATCGTTTTTTTTTTATTACGATCCGTTCTACAACCGATAATCAGCAGAGGGTGTCGCGTCGTCTAATGCTCACATGAAGTGAAGTTGGATTTGTTGGCTGAATCCCGCTTTAAAATCATAAACACAAGATACAAAATCATGAAGATACAAAAATAATAGCAAAATTTAAAAACAAAAATAACAAAATATATTCTCGGTTTGGGGAGAAACTGGACAGCATTCCAGTACTGTTTTGGTAATCCTGTCTTGACGATTTACAAAACCTGTGTTTTAATTAATTGAGAAAATAAATGAAATGAAACGATATTAAGCTTATATATGTGTATTGCCAGGCATGAATTAATATATGTTAATCACATTATTCCATTTAAAATGTACAGTCATACAGTATACAATGAATTTTCCCAGTAAATTAAGGACAGGGGCGGATCCAGAAATGTCCAAAAGGGGGGGGGGGCCGGAAGAGGGGCCAAAAGTTGGGCCGATGGGGGTCCGGGGCATGGTCCCGTGAAATTTTTGTGTTCTAGACGCTCGAACATAACATTTGAGGCATTCTGGGCTATCATTTTTTTCTTTTTCTCTCTTTTTTTCTTCTTTTTTTCTTTTTTTAAATCCGCCCCTGAAGGATACATTACTAAACTTATAAAATCCTCTGGTAGTAAAATGTACTGTAAGTATTTAACTCACCATTCTTCATCTCCTCTTGTTTTATTTGCTCTCATATCATACACAAGGAATGCTGTACCAAAACTGCCACTGCCAAGCTTCTTCTCTACTCTGTACCTGTTGGCCAGCACACGGTGGTCGCTTTTGTCCTCCTTGGGCTTCTTGACTCCCCTTGCCGGCGGCATGGTAAAGCATTTAATCTATAATAGCAGTGCCACTAAAAAAAAAAAATGTAAGTGCAGTACTTTTTATAGATAGAATAGTGCAAGATAAACAAGAGCAGTCACTCCATAGAGAGAATACCTCTGCCCTGTACCGGAATACTAAAACAATAATACACAGGCTGAGTATATGATGGGCGATTCATGATTATTTTCCGACCTGTTCCGAAAAATATGCAGGCAGGCTATCTTTATTTTTCTTTTATGCTTGGGGTAAAAAAAGATCAAATTTCTGTGACCTGACTTTGTCCTTTAACTTTCCTTCCTAAAAATAAGTCTATCTATATTATATTTGAATAAAAAGTACCATTAACCATTCTAGTAAATTTTATGATCCATTCATTAGTTTTTGTGTAATCTTGCCAACAGGCAGAGAGGCAGTAAAGAAATGGCAGCAGAGGTCATGATGTTTGGCAAATGTAGACACCAAGCTTTAAAAATGTTTGTTTGTCCATTTTCATTCATTAGAATAGATTATTACTTAGGAAAAAATTATTATCACTAGGCCTCCGTACTCTAAAAAAAAAAAAAAAATCAGTTTTGCGCGGAAAATCAATAGGAAAATAGGTGCGCGGAATCGTAATTGCTGCATAATTGCATTGGATATTAAGTTTTGTTCAAAAGCCTAATTATCGGCAAATCTGCGCGGATATATATGTATATATATATATATATATATATATATATATGTGTATACTGTATATATATATATATATATAGTATATTTAATGCCTATAACTCATTAAGCATTGTCATTATTATGTTGTTATTATTGCCATCATATCATTATTATAATTATTATACCTTTTTATATTGTTATTAATATTATTTTAAGATTATTTTTATTAATGCAGTTTTAATTATTGTAAAGTGGATGTAAATGAAAAGAAATAACAAAAGCCAACGATATAAAACACTATAATATTGGCTTTGCATTCAAATCTCTTTTGGTAAATATTCAGTAAATACACAGTAAATTGGGGCCAAGTTGACTACTTGGGGCCGAGTTGACTTGGGGCCAAGTTGACATGGGGCCATAGGCTTAGCCAGTGAGCCATCTGGCTGTCTTTTGGACGGCCTGCAATTATTTACGACGGCCACTTTTACCGCGATGGCTTGGACGGCTTGGCCTAATCAGTTCGGCCTACCCTAAATGGGCCTGGTCTACCTTTAGCAAATTCTTTGTATTCTTCAAATCTATCGAATGTTACATTATTTAACTAAAGCTACATCATATTTAAGTTTGATAGAAACAACATTTATTGATTGAATGTACATTGTTTTCGTACCAATATTCGGTGAGGATTCCCAAAGATGGCTTCCATTTTGGACGGCCTATTTTGTTTTTCTGGCTAAACCCCTGCATGAGACCGAGTTAACTTGGGGCCAAGTTAACATGGGGCTGAGTTGACTTGGGGCCGAGTTAACATGGGGCTGAGTTGACTTGGGGCCAAGTTGACTCGGCCAATAAAGCAAGCAAAAACTACATTTGAGACAAATTTGGCTAAGGATGTGAGAATCAACCCAAAAAATTGTTGGAAATATGTTCGAAGTAAAACTAAATTTGAATCTTGGTAGCTTAATAGATAGTAATGGTCATATAATTACAGACGATGCCAATAAAGCCAATTTATTTAATAAATATTTTGCATTAGTTTTCACAGTTGAGGATATGTCTTGTATCCCTGAATTAGATTCCCGAAGTGTTTTCTCAGAGTTAAATGCCATTGAATTTATTAAAGAGGATATTGAGATGTACTTAAACAAGATAGATATCTGTAAATCTTCGGGTCCGGATAACATTCATTCTCGAGTGCACAACTTAGTAATATTTTTCAATGTATGTTCTCTAAACTGTTACGCGACGGAATGGTCCCTCCATCATGGAGTCCAGCAGATGTAGTGCCTATTTTTAAAAAAGGAGATAGATTGGTTCCTCTAAATTACAGGTCTGCGAGTCCGACGTCGATAGTATGTAAAACTATGGAAACGTTTATGTAATACGCAATGTTGGAAGTAATAAATCAGTGGACCCCATGGTTAGATGAGGGTTCTTGTTTCGATTGCATGTTCTTAGATTTTAAGAAAGCGTTCGATAGTGTTCCGCACGATAGATTGTTATTAAAATAAACTTAAGGCATAAGGTATGGTGGAAACTTTTAAAAGTGGATTGAGGCTTTTCTCTCATGTAGATCGCAACGTGTAGTTGTAGGAAAATGTTGTAGTCAATGGAATTAAATCAGAAACTAGTGGTATTCCTCAGGGCAGCATCCTGGGTTCGTTACTCTTTAATATCTTTATAAATGATCTTCCGGATGGAATTAAATCAGATGTTAAAATTGTTGCAGATGATACACAAATTTATAGGAAAGTAAATAACCAGGAAGAGGCCGATATTTTACAACATGATATTGATGAGTTTTTAAATGGTCGGTTAAGTGGCAACTACCTTTTAATTTGGATAAATGTTGTGTTATGCATTTTGGTAGAAAGAATTTGGAAACTTTGTTTACGATGGGACATGCTCATGACAAAAAGATTCTTCAGTCAGTGATTAAAACTGGGAATTCTTATTGATAATAAACTTATTTTTGATTCTCATATTTCTCAAGTTGCCTTAATAAAGGCAAACAGAAAACTTGGAATGATAAAGAGGTCATTTAAATTTTTGGATAGGCAGTCTCTTGTTCACCTTTATTATAAATCTATTGTTATGCCAAGCATGGAATATTGCAGTCCAGTTTGGCAGCATATATTTTAAGGAATCAAATAAATTGGAAAAAAATCCAACAATGTGCTACTAGAATTGTGTCAGAGATAAGGCCCTTTCCATATGAACAAAGATTAATAATGCTGAAGCTACCCACTTTAGAATTTAGAAGGCAAAGATCTGCACAAATTCAAGTGTACAAAATATTTAAAGGAATTAATAGAATCCCAAGTAATACTTTTTTTGAGCTTGTTAAAGGATCTAAAACTAGAGGCCATAAACTAAAAATTATTATACCTCGTTCAAAAATTAGAGTGCGTCAGAAATTTTTTACAAAATAATGCTGTGTACAACATCTGGAATAATTTACCAAGCTATGTGATTGATGCAGACACGTTAAAATAATTTAAATCCCGTTTGGAAAGTGTTGGCGTTGTCATCCGCTGAAACTGAAGTTTTTCCCATATGATATGTACGAATTGAAGGAGGATATGCACAACAAGACTCAAGAGGGACACACAAGCTTCAGAAGTTTTGGTATCAATCAAGGTAGGCCTAGATCAAGGTAGGTAGATCGAATTCAGTTCTACTACTACTACTACGGAAAGTACGCCAAAGCTTATGCCTAGGCCTACGTAGTCTGTCTCCTCTCTACACAAGCCTACAGTATGCACTGGCCTAGTCCATCCGCCTAGGCCTAGCTTAGGTTAGGAGTAGGGGCCTAGCCTAGCTAGCTAGGCCATTTCTGTTTTTTGGTACCAAGCCTAAATAATTGTTGATTGGTTTATGGAAATTCAAGTAAAGGATACGAATACATACTCAAATTATATTTGTAAGATTAAGCAAATACCTTTTAAATTGGCCTAGTAGTCGGAGACTCCAGCTAGCTAGCTAGCTAGGCTACGGTTATCCAGCTTCAAAAAAAATACAAACAAACAAACACAACCTTCACCTGCTGCCTTCTTCTTATCGTGCGTTGTCGATAGGCCTTGTTTAGAGCAAAGAAATCTATGGTTAGGCCTACACACACAAGGAAGTGGTTCCAAAGGTCAATACATTATACATTATAATTACGCCTCTAGGGCATATCTTTATTTTCATATTATCTTAAATCATATAAACAAAAAATATACCATAAAAACATTTACTTAAACTTAAATTACACCTAATTTGTGCAAGAAATAAAAACTTGCACCTCAAAAGGTCAATTAAAACTTTCAATCGACAAGTGTTTGCACAGATACGCCACGATACGGCTTTTTGTCGATAGTGTTTCTCAGACCCAGGGTACTCTTTGACGATACCATTTTCAAAGATAGGGAAGTATCGCATACCAGCATTGCAGTTTGATTCATTCGTCTCTATAAATTCATAATCAATTAAAGATAAATTTAGAAACATAATTTAGATCTTTACGTTGTAACACAATCCCCATTCTTGTAATGATTGCATAATGAAATCGATTCTATTATATGGAATGAATTTTCGGATGAAGCGCCTTAGAGAAAATTTATTTGGTTTGTGCTATAATATATCA